CGGGGCTTGGGGTGGCTGAGGGGCGGGGCCTGGGTTGGAGCAGGGCGGGGCCTGGGACGGCCGCGCGGCGGGGGCGCAGGCGGGGACGGGAAGGGCAGTGCTGGAGCGGCCGGCAGGGGGCGGACGCGGGCTGGTTGGGAGGCGAGAGAGTCTCTTCCAGAAGCCCGGTGGGGAAAAGCCCCAGCGGTCTAGGCTTGGCGTGCTTAATTTGACTAGCAGAAGGTGACATGGAAAACTCTTATGGAATTTTAACCTTTTCAAATTAAAAATGTAAATTTAATATTCTTTGAGGACGCAGACAGATGAAACGCACTTGGTAACAGGAAGACAGCAATGGAGTTTATTCCTAATCCAGCATAGCAGAGCTCCTTTCACACTGGGACTGGGATATTCCCAGGTTGCGGGGAAAGTTACAGATTCCCTACACTTCCTCAAGGGCAGAGGAGAACTGTCTGGCTGAAAGATGATACAGTACCCTGGCCAGGCGTGGCTCGGGGGTTGCACGTGGACCTAGGACGCGGGAGATCGCGGTTCCTTTCCAGGTCAGGGCACATGCCCAGGCTGCTGGTTCCATCCCCAGTCGGGGGCGTGCAGGAGGCAGTCGATCAATGACGACTCTCCTATCATTGATGTTTCTAACTCTCTCTGAAATCAGTAAAGATATATTTTTTAAAAAGATGATACAGTATGTCTTCAGCAACTAAGCTAAAAGTTACTGTTACCAGTGAAAGTGTAATTATATAGAAAGTAGCTTACTTTTAAATGAAACCAAGATTTATTTGACTCATCCACTAGGACCCACTGTTAAATTGATTCAGAAAAATGTTCCTCTGCATCCAGATACACCCAGATGTCCAGCAGCAAACATTTCATCACCACAAAAATATTGACTCATTCATCAGAAAGAAGTCAGTAAAGAATCTGAGAGGGGGGGAAGTTCAAGGAGTTACTCTTGGGTCCTTCACATTGAAGAAAATACAGTCAAGTCTTCGATCAAAAATTACTTTTCGCCCTGGCCGGATAGCTCAGTTGGATAGAGCATCGTCCCCATAGGCCAAGGTTGTGGGTTGGATCCCCCATCAGGACACATGTAAGAATCAACCAATAAATGCATAAATAAGTGAAACAAGATATCAATGTTTATCTCTCTCCCTTACTCTCTCTTTAAAATAAAAATATATATATATGTTTTTAAAAATTACTTTTCTAATCTAGGTCATATATAATTCCCA